GCACTTAATATGCTTGTTTTTGCCAAGACAATTCTTGGGAACGTTGCATCCTCATCCAAAGCTGTAAACACCATACCTTTGTTAGCCTGAATCTCCCATGTCACTTCAAATGGTGTGTATGCCTGATTGGAACGTCGTATTCCACCACTACCAGAAAATGAATACACTGTACCCTGTACAATCTTATCTGACAAAACCAAGGCACAATCATCGGAGCCAATAATTCTAATCTCTGTTCCCTGGACATCGACAACGTCAAATGACATTATGCATCCAGATCTTTTCGTGTTGAAATGTATCAACTTGTTCTTGTGTGTGACTCTTGCACGGAAGGACCACCTGTAAGAACGGTCACTGATTTCTTTGATGAACACCTCTTTTATGACGGCCTTTTTTGAGCTCTCTCCCTGTATCAAAGGGAACAAATTGAATAAACTGGTTTAGACGTGAAATACCTTTTCCATGGACTCCTGGGCTCGTTTTTGACCCTGGCAAGTTCAATTGTAGCAGTTATTTTAGAATTAAAACCAAAGAAAGGACTTACCACTTTCATATCTTGAAGGATAGGGTTTGAGTGTGTGCGCTTCCATACTCCACCATCCAGGAAGCATGCATCCGAAACAATCAATGACCTACAGAATATTTTGGAGTTTAAAATGCTCTGTCAAAAGGAAAATACACTTACTGTTTCCCATTTGTCTCAAGGAACGCGTAGTCCAGGAATTTTACAAACGAATTCAGACGGGCACCACATGAATCTATTAAACTTGAAACTTGGTGTGATGCAATTGCCTCGAGTATTTCTCTGTCATCCGTGACCGAGAACTTCTTGGTCAGAGGACCAGGCTTTGAATCTATATTTGTCACACGCAACACGAGTTCCTCTTTCGAATTTTTTTTTACCCTTCTGATCCCATCATCTGTGCACTTCATGATTGTTCACGATAGGGTTTCTCCGTGATATCTGCTATATAATGTTCACATTTATCAAACCGTTGGAAACGTTGTTATCACTGCCTTGATGCATATGCATTGGTTGAAATAATAAAATTTATTCTTGTATTAGTGGGGAAAAAAGATTACGACTTTATCTTCCTCCTCCCTCTCCAGAAGAGTTAGTGGCAAAAGTAGTTTATCTTCTCGAGAAACTTAAGTTCTTGTTCATTTTTAAAAAAAAAAAACTGATTCTACACTACCGGCCAAAAGCCCTCTCCATGATCTACCGATCTTCATGTTTAATAACAACTGTGGCAATACACGGCTCCTCTTTCCCACCAGCAAGTGCTCTAGAAAACTTAAAGGAATCGTGGCCTTGTCGATTCATCCCAAGCCACCTGCAGAAGCAGAGACATAAACGTTCTGTGAAGGTTTTGTAAACTTCTCAAAGTCGCCCATAATGGATCCCAGGCGCAGCGCGTCGCATCCAAGAAGGTAGTCATAACAAGCAAGGAATCTTTGCTTTACTATTCTGATTCTGGCGGCATGGAGTTCCATGACTTGAAATCACAGAGAACCTACACAGTATGATCCATGTCTAGTCACAGGCGTTTTTCTAGGTCTTTCCCTTTTGTTACCAAGGTTTTAAGGACCAAAGAGGATTACAACGCCCACGGAAACGGATTGCGTCCAGATAAGCACAAAATTGTGTCTGATGCATCTTCCAACACTCGAATTCCAGCTACACTTGCTGGTTATGAACGCAACTACTGAACACCATTTTGATCCATAGCAAAACAGTTTGATCTTCGTTTATTTGTAGTGTAGAAACTTGATGCATTCTTAAGCTTTTATAGGGCAAGCGTGTGCGAAGGGAAACAACTCCCAGGAAAAACACTTTCCTTTTCTTTTTTTTTCATCTGATTCTTCGTCTGAAAATCAGACGAATCCAACCAGCTCCAACCAGCTGCTCAAAGCATGCGATCCAATAAGCCAGACAGTAGGGCATGCATGTGAGTTGGCCTGCGTAATCTCCATTTCCCGGTGGCTGTCTTGCACGGTTAAGGAAACCTTTTCAAAAATCTAAAGGCTGAAGATAACAGGTGTTAGAACCCAGCGACAAGTAAAAGATCCACACCTGATTCCGATGTAACTCTCGAACCACCCTCGTCCTACCCCAGCCGTTAAGCTGGAAGAGACAAATGGTACGTGAAAATTCAGTCGGGCATCATAAAGAATGTCTACTCCACCACCCTGGTACCCCGTGTCAAATGCTCGACCTGTAGCAGCACCAGACATAAACAATCATACAAAATTGCTGTTGCTATCTGTATGGCTTGTTGTGGACGGTAGTCCTTGTACTGCTGCACCTCTTCCGCTCTCATCCATGTACACTGATGAACTGTG